TAGTGAGGGTAGGCAATCCTTTTGTTGACAGACAGTAGTGACGGCCATCTTGGTGACGTGTGTTGTTCTGCGAGACCAGAGATGGAGCTCATTCAGCGCTTCACACAAACAAAGTGTTACTTCACAGTTTTACGACACATTTTTTTTTTTTTTACTTGAACAATGATCTTTTAAATTGACAAACATCATGTGTGTAATTCATGGCACAATTCAAACGGAATCGAAAGATAATCTTTCTCTCTCCATTGACTTCAATGCATTATTTTTTCGAAATAATGGAGGTCCACCGGAAGGGGAGGGACTTCGCCTCTCTATGTGTCTCGTGTTGATTACGCAGCACAGCCATGCTGGTTCATGTCGGGGGTTGCGGTCGGATAATCCAAAAATCAGCTCCTATCGTCTATCCCTATCGTCTATTCCTTGACCTCTGAGTGAAAGGTCACAGGGTTAAGGGATAGTGGATAGGATAATTCAAAAGGACTTAGGAGAAGAGACTGCCGGGTTGCATTCCAATAGTCCATTTAGCTTAGGACCCTTCCTAACGGAGTGAAATGACCCGGAAGTCCCTCAGTGGCAGCCATGATAAGTGCCGTTCCAATTCTCCAAATGAAAGGAAAGGAGGTTTCAAACTTCCTTTATAACCTCCTTTAGCTTAGGAACCACTGGACCTCCCTCACCGAAAGGAGAGGAGAAAATGCTGCCCCACAATGCATTGCAGCCGCAGCATTTGCCGTCACTCAACAGTCGGTCGTTCACGGAAACAACCGATTATGGCGGAGAAATGATATCATGAAAGTTACGGTGCTCATTAAGCATTTTAAAATGTATGTGGTAAGTTGCCAAAGTGCTTTGTTCTGAACGTTCATCAGTATTATAATCAAAGAGAGAAATATGAACGTTAGTTTTTACTGAAATGATCAAATAAAGTCAACATCTCACAGTCTTTACTAGGGTTGGGAACCGAAACTCGGTTCCAGATGAGAACCGATAAGAAAATGCCGGGTACCGGGTGCCCATACAAAATACACAATTTCGGTTCTGCTTAACGGTTCCTAAACGCGGTAGACCCTGTATTCCAGCGGGTCCGTCTGCACCGTGGTGCTGCGGTGACCCGGTGGAATACAGGGCGGACCTGGAGAATCACAGAACGGCCGGTCGTCAGCGGGCCGTTGACGGCCGGCTCGGTACGCTGACGGCCGGCACCACCCTTCATTTTTTTAAACGGCATCATATAAATTGCGCTGACAGGCGACAGAGGTCCACAGTTGCCCCGCAGCGATGCTCCCCTGCCCTCCCGTAGACATTTCACGAGCTCAGTCACTTCATAACACCAAAGATAGGTCGCGGTAAACACTCTGAAGTGAGGCTCCACTACACTAAAAAAGAAAAAGAAAAGGCAAAGTGTAATGCCTGTTAATAGCTTGCCACAGGCATATCTCAGTTAAAATAAAGCACAGCTATTGTGCAATACATTTGTATTGCATGTATATTTTTTAGTAACAATTTCAGTTAAAGCTTTTAAGAATAAATATATTTTTGTTATCTAAACGTTTGACCTCTTTATTTTACAATTTTGGAATCGAAACGGGGAATCGATAAGAACCGGAATCGATAAGCAGAACCGGAATCGAAATCGGAATCGATAAATTTCAAACGATACCCATAGTCTTTACTGAGCTGTGTGGGGTTTGTTCAACTTTTAAAAGATGTTTGAATGGTGATATACACAGTGATAGATGTTAAGGACTAACGTTTATAATAAATACATCTGTATTGATTTAAGATCTTTTCATCAATCATACGTATTGGGATCATTTGTATTAATGTGGACCGGAGGGAGAGGGGGACGAGCAGAAGTTTCACTTTCCTTTTTATTTCAATTCCAGCTTTGGTCCTGAAGAATCTGTTTCTCTGTTGTCCACGTTCATAAAGCAACAGCGTCAGAGCACAGAGTCTCTAGATGAGTTTACAGGAGTCCCTCGTTCTTATTGAACATCCATGTTGTAGTCCGCTGTATAGAGAACTGTAGTTTCCATAGTTTCCCCACAGCAGCAGACGCACATTCAGGACGTCCGCTGGCGCATCAGAAACACGTGGGATAGTGAAAGTGCAGTCGATTCTCTAAAGTACCGCAGTCTCTTCTCCTAAGTCCTTTTGAACCTGTAGCTGCTCCCTCCACACTCACAACAACTTCATACAGACATAAATAAAGCAGCTGTATTCGCCATACAGGAAACACACATTTAAAACGGTTTTGCCTTCCGTTTTTGTGTACACAAGCATTCATCAATGGTTTGGAAAGTGGCGCTGTACCTTAATAATATAAAAGATTGTATTTGCGTGAATTTCCTGTTCGGAAAGTGGCGCTGTACTGAGAGTGGAGGTGTCCTGACATTAGCGCCTGCAGGCAGGCTCCATCATGTTTTTACCCCTCACTGTTTATTCATCATTCAATTCATTCTATATTTTATTCTGTAGATTGTGAACATTACTTTTCACTTCACTGCTTGTTGCTCCTGGTTAGAAGCTAAACTGCATTTCGTTGTCTCATGTAATATGTGCAATATCAATAAAGTAGAATCTAATCTTGAGCAGGAACAAATGTATTTACTTCGTACATATCTGACATTAACGATTAAACACATGTGCATTCTTTATAAATGCAAACTGGTCAAGACCACTGACGGAAGTAGTTTTGCAAAGTAATAAGTGGTTCTGTCTTTTACATGTAGGATTCAACCCCCCTTGTATTGATTTGTTTTAATGAATGAGTCATTCATTTGTAGTGATATCATAATGGTGGGATTTCTATTGCATCCACTTCATTCAATTCAAAACCTTTATTTATCCAGGTAAAATCCCATTGAGATCAATGATCTCTTTTCCAAGGGAGACCTCCCGCTGCTTTGGAGCCGCAGCTCGTCTCCAACAACGTTCACTCCTGAGACGTCAGAGCGACCCGACAGGCTGTGGGAAATAGCGTGACGTCATCACTGCGGGACGCCGTGCTGCGCAGGTTAGAGACTCGAAGGTGAAATAAATGAATGAAATGAAATATAAAGATACATCTATTTGATAACAGGAGCTCATCAGGGACCGGATATCCGGGAGGGCTGGAGGAAGGTAGGGGCTATTAACTGTGGAGAATGCGTGCTAACAAAATAACATGCTAACATGCTAACATAACAAACTGCTCAGAAACTCAAAGCAGACACACGCACACACACACACACACACACACACACACACACACACACACACACACACACACACACACGCACAGCAGACAGACTTCATCCCATTGTACATTAGGTTAAGTTAATTTCTTTTCTATCATAGCAGCATCAATATCAGAAAACTACAATAGAGATAGGAAGTTTGTGCAAATATACGGAGGATAAAATATAAGAGTAAATAAAAGTGTATAATAAATGCTGTGTTAAAATGCAGGAATTGTGTTGCCTTTAATAAAAATAACTGATCCCTCTTGTCTGCTTTAGGAAGTCAGCATGCGAACTGTAGGGGGGGCGCTGAGGTCCAGCGTCCTGAGGCGGGTCGGTTCTGCTGCTCCCAGACCTGAACCTCCACTGGGTCTCAGACCTGAACCTCCACCGGGTCCTGAACCTCCGGCAGCCGGACCCCCTGCTGTCTGCTGTTTGATGTCAACCATCAGGACTCTGTCTGGAATGAGGACTCTGTCAGGAAGGAGGACTCTGTCAGGACTTGGGACTCTGTCAGGAATGAGGACTCTGTCAGGACTTGGGACTCTGTCAGGACTCGGGACTCTGTCAGGGGTCCGGAGGCTCTCTGGTGGCCCTGATGGTGTCCCTGGCGGTGTAGGGGTCTCTGAAGGGGTCCCTGATGCTGTGGGGGTCCCTCCCGGGTGGTACAGCTCCCTCTCGGACTCAGCTCCGGTCCACCTGGTGGAACACTTCCTGCTGACGGTCCAGCAGGTGGGGGGGCTGCCCTGGTGGCTGAGCATCGTCGTGGCAACGCTGTCGGTCCGGACCGCCGTCACTCTGCCGCTCGCAGCCTATCAGACGGTGGTGCTGGCCCGGGTGAGTGACAGCGGGCCGGGACTACAGAGGGGGTTCTGTTAGCGGTTAGTACATAGAGTTAGTGAATAGAGTTAGTAGTGGTAACTCTGGGTGGTGTGTCGTGGTAACCGTGGTAACTCTGGGTGGTGTGTCGTGGTAACCGTGGTAACTCTGGGTGGTGTGTCGTGGTAACCGTGGTAACTCTGGGTGGTGTGTCGTGGTAACCATGGTAACTCTGGGTGGTGTGTTGTGGTAACCGTGGTAACTCTGGGTGGCAGAGGTGGGAGTAAGTCCTACATGTGCAAGTCATGAGCAAGTCTCAAGTCTTGACCTACAAATATCAAGCAAGTCCCAAGTCACTGTGGTGAGAGTCAAGCAAGTCAAGTCATTGCTCAGGTCAAGCAAGTCATACGACATTCTGATGAAAAAGCCCAGTTTCCGCATTTCAATCAGTTCAAAGACAGTGGTTATGAAAATGGATTCAACCCACACTATGACCTTCAGTACATACACAGTTCATCATTTGAAATCTAATTTAGACCGATGACGATCATATTAGATTCATATTAACCCTAGAACTGCAGACTGATAGAGCGAGGACTCAGAAAGTCTGTTCAAAAAGGCAGAATTCCAGGTGAGAAAATCATATATTTTCAATTACACATATTTAATTTAAATGTCTGTTAACACGAGAACCGCCAACAGCGTCAGCGCCTACAGAGATATCATTTAAATCATTTCATCTGTTCCTCTTCATCATTTCCTTATAAACTAAGTAGATTTAAAACTCACTTAATTGGGTTCATTTAGAAATGCAGGGGTAGACATTAAGGGTAAAATGCCACTGGCCCTCTGGGCCGGTGGAATTGTATTATCACTGGCCCCACCATTGTAACCACTGGCCCGGAGCATTCGTCCAAAACATCGACTAATAATGAGGAAAATTAACACATTTGTTGCAATAGTAATTTATGCACTAACTACATTACTACTTGTACTACAACATTTGAATCATCAGTTCTTCCTCATTTCCCTCAATTGTTCATATTTGGTTTATTAAAATAATGATATTGTGGTCGTTGTTAAAACACGCTATTATTATGAGTATTATTATTTGTATAATGCGCTTTCTGCCTTCCTGTCATCAGGAGTTAGAAATGTAATGGCTATAGATTAGATTAGATTCTTCATTATCCTAAACTGCTGGGACATTTCCCTAAAGCCAATACCTTTATATTTTCTACTCTTCACTTACTTGTCAGCATAGGTCGGCATTGATGCACAGAGCCGACAGAAGACCTTGTTTATATTGGCATCATATTGAGAGGTGCAGTGACGCATCCTAAAACCAGGAAGTAAGCTGCTGGTTCCCTCCACAGAAAGCAATGGGATTTCTCCACAGGGTTTTGGAAAATAGCTGGAAATAAGGTCTGTGGAAAACAAACCTGTTTGATAAATGCACGTTTTGTTCAGCCGGATAATCTCCACATGTCTACCCTACTTTTATAATGTTCTAATCATAAATCTAATCGATAGATTATAAAGGGTTTTAGGACGCGTCCCTGCACCACTAGAAGCCAACTCCATCGATCAAGCTGAAACTTCCTCTCCCTCTTCTTCTCCTCTCCCCGTCACTCTCCTTTAACTCCTCCGGTGACTTTCTTTTATTTGAAGATTGTTTTTTGCCCGGCGCTTGGCCGGTTACCGCTGGTATTAAAAACATTTTGGCGAATGGTTAGGTGGCGCGATAGTCTGTAGTGAAGGAGCGCGCTCACGGGAGCTTGCTCGCGCTGCGCTCCGCAGCAAACAGCTGTTTGCTTTTCACCCAACAACGACAACCGACTCACGAAACGCTTTGTTGTAGCGTTGATAAACGAAACAATTTAACAAAATTGCTTGTCAAAATACCAATACCACAGGACAATATATTTGTTTTAAAGCAATATTTTTAGTGGCCCGAGCGGGCAAGTGGAAAGTACGTTATGCTGGCCCGGGGTGTCTAAATAGTGCTTCCGGGCCAGCGGGCCATTTATAATGTCGAGCCCTGAAATGGCTTCAGTTTATCATCAGAACAGATCAAAAAGTTCAGATTCATTTTACAATAAATCAAGGAATGATGCACTTCTACAAACAAAAACAACATCATTAGAACATTTAAACAAACTACTAAAAGTAGATGAACTACATTATTCAACAGTTTACAGAAACTTCTGATTCTCTCTCTCTCTCTCCCTCTGGGTGGTGTGTCGTGGTAACCGTGGTAACTCTGGGTGGTGTGTCGTGGTAACCGTGGTAACTCTGGGTGGTGTGTCGTGGTAACCGTGGTAACTCTGGGTGGTGTATCAAATCAAATCAAGTTTTATTTATATAGCACATTTATAAAGGATTTTTGGTGGAGCCAAAGTGCTGAACATAAAATAAAAATAGCCTACAGTAGAGACACTTTACAGCAAATACAACAACAGATTGTTCAGAGTATCAGTATGAGAAAAACTACACCCTCTGTCCTTAGACCCTCTGTCCTCAGACCCTCTGTCCTCAGACCCTCTATCCTCAGACCCTCTGTCCTTAGACCCTCTGTCCTCAGACCCTCAGTCCTCAGACCCTCTGTCCTTAGACCCTCTGTCCTTAGACCCTCTGTCCTCAGACCCTTAGACCCTCTGTCCTCAGACCCTCTGTCCTTAGACCCTCTGTCCTCAGACCCTCTGTCCTTAGACCCTCTGGCCTTAGACCCTCACATCGTACAAGGAAAAACTTCCGGAGAAAACCCACAGTTTAAAGGGAACATGGGAGAAAGCTCAGGGAGAGCAACAGAGGAGGGATCCATCTCCCAGGACGGACAGACGTGCAATAGATGCCGTGTGTAAATCCAAGAGATAATACATTTTACAGCATATAGACCGAATGTTAGGAAATGCATGTGTCTGTAATAAGAAGATGAATCCACGAGGATATCAGCTACAATCCTGTGGAAGCCATCAGGGAAACAGCATGACGAGACCCAAGGCAGGACCGCAGAGACAGGTTCAGCCACGACCCGAAGTCCACGACTTAATCCAGAACTCAGGATAGAGGATCCAAGACACAGGACTACAGCAAGAGGATCAGCCTCGACTCCGGATCCCGGCGTAGATATAGATACAAAACAAGAAGAAAGATTTGGCTGGGTTAATCGGAACAAGAGAATACACAGACACAGACAGCGAGGGAAAAGGTCATTGGATAAAAGTTATTCTTGATAACCCTCTAGAAAGATCTCATGAACTTCCCCACTCAATCTATCAAGACCCGAGCAGTTCTATTAGATATAAGAAACAGAGAGAGGGAGCACAACAACCTATCTCTTCGTCAGATGCACTCCCCCGCTTATCTAAGCGACTCTGTACCTCGTTACCCTCTACAAGGCCATAGACCAGCAGAGGGCACCGTTACCCCCTACAAGGCCATAGACCAGCAGAGGGGACGTTACCCCCTACAAGGCCATAGACCAGCAGAGGGGACTGTTACCCTCTACAAGGCCATAGACCAGCAGAGGGACCGTTACCCTCTACAAGGCCATAGACCAGCAGAGGGGACCGTTACCCTCTACAAGGCCATAGACCAGCAGAGGGGACCGTTACCCTCTACAAGGCCATACACCAGCAGAGGGGACCGTTACCCTCTACAAGGCCATACACCAGCAGAGGGAACCGTTACCCTCTACAAGGCCATAGACCAGCAGAGGGGAAATGGGGGGTGGGTAAGGGTAAGGGTCTAAAGGGAAAAAAGATGAAATATAAGGTACTATATTTTAAGTAATCCTATCTACTATTCCTATATTCGAATAATGTATAAACTATTTTAAAAATACTTTATGAAATCCTATGTTATGTTATAAATATTAAAATAAAGAATTAAATGAATAAATAAATAAATAAATGAATAAATACATAATTAAACAAAAGCCAGAGAGAAAAAGTGAGTTTTAAGTGTTGATTTAAAAAACGTTAGTCGTGGTAACCGTGGTAACTCTGGGTGGTGTATCATGGTAACCGTGGTAACTCTGCAGGTGGAGGCGCTGCAGGTGGAGATCTCAGAGCTGGCTAAGAGGCTTCGATACGAAGTGTCGGTCCGAGCGAGAGAGAGGAGTTGGACTGAGAAACAGAGCAGGTAAATAACTTAATCAACCTTCAGATTTATTTATCTCGTCGAGAGTCAAAGCAACAAAGTTCTGGTTCAAAGACTCTGGAGCAGAGACTTGATCACACACAATCAAACAGATCAACTGAGCCGGTTCTGTTTCAGATTCCAGTTCAAGAAGAACCTGCGGAGGATAGTTTCTCAGCTTTATGTCAGAGAGAACTGTCACCCCTTCAAAGCCAGCCTGCTGATCTGGGTTCAGCTGCCCCTGTGGATCAGCCTCTCTCTGGCCCTCCGGAACCTCACCCTGGATCAGTCAGGTAAACCAGATCCTGATCAGTCACGTAAACCAGATCCTGATCAGCCAGGTAAACCAGATCCTGATCAGTCAGGTAAACTAGATCCTGATCAGCCAGGTAAACCAGATCCTGATCAGTCAGGTAAACCAGATCCTGATCAGTCAGGTAAACCAGATCCTGATCAGTCAGGTAAACCAGATCCTAATCAGCCAGGTAAACCAGATCCTGATCAGTCAGGTAAACCAGATCCTGATCAGTCAGGTAAACTAGATCCTGATCAGTCAGGTAAACCAGATCCCGATCAGTCAGGTAAACCAGATCCTGATCAGCCAGGTAAACCAGATCCTGATCAGTCAGGTAAACCAGATCCTGATCAGTCAGGTAAACCAGATCCTGATCCGTCAGGTAAACCAGATCCAGAGAAGTAGGAACATTTTCTCAGACACCCTGAGCCTTTCTTCCTGTGACAGTAGTTGTGTCTCTGCAGCTCTGCATGCTGACCTGGCAGCAGGGGGCGCTCTCTGGTTTCCTGATCTCACTGTACCGGACTCTACCTGGATCCTGCCGCTCGGCCTCGGACTCACCAACCTGATCATCGTAGAGGTAACTTCTTCTTCAGGTGATTCTAACCTGGCCCTCCTCTCTTCTTCAGGTGTTTCTGACTCTCCTCTCTTCTCTCTATATCGAGGGGGGGGTCGCGAGATGATTTAAAAATTAAAAATTAAAAAATGATTTATTTTTTATTATTATTATCCAGTGTTTCCCACATAATTTGATTCTACTTGTAGGGGCACCGCACCCCCTCATGCAAATGAGCCATACTCTCATTAAATATTACTACTTGAGCAGGTCACCCTTGAAAAAGAGATCAATGATCTCAATGGGATTCACCTGCATAAATAAAGGTTTGAAATGAAATGAAATACATTTTAATATTTTCAGGAACACAATTACATTACAAAATGTAGTCATATTAGTATCTAAGGCTTTTACAGAAGGGATATTGGATATCTCTTTTTATCACTCCATAAATCAGAAAATACTGTCAACAGCCCTAAAATATCCATCTTCGCCATGTTTTTAGGTACAATGTTGTATAATTCAGGCTGTGAATGATCTATGAACAAACCCTTCTGTAAAAGCCTTCATAATATTGATGGGAATATAACTGGAAGGTTTGGTGTATGTACGTGCTACTGAAGTTGAAATTTCGAATTCATAGAGTAGGAGAAAAAACTAATCTTGAGAAAACGACCTTTAAAGATTGCAGTGAGGCGCTAGCTAAACCCTCTGTTCTTTGGATGACAGCTTGCGCATCGACGCACTCCGTGAAGGTATTTCATGTTCGGGGTAATTGTGTTTTGTATAACCTTGCTTCGTGCAAGTGACAATTGTTGTCGTCTTCTCTGTGAACGTTTTTTTCGCCTTTCTTTTGCCATTTTGAGATTTCAATTTCTAGCGGAAAGCTAACCAGGAAGTGTTTTAGCACACCACGTGACGCATCTGAACGAATCACGTTGTCAGAAATTGACACCAGCCAATGAGATTTCGTTTCTTGGTTTAAGACCCTTTTGTGCTTTCACGATTGGTTGCTGATACAAAGGAAATGACCATATTTGGATCCGATGAGATTGTGCAGGAGAGACGGAGCTTTCCAGCGATACCTCTGTTGACATGGTGCACACAGCGGTCGCGGTACTTTATGTTACGTTAGAATGCTAACTTTTGGTGAATTTAGGAGAAATCTACAGACGCAAATAGACAAACTATAGTAACATAAACACTTAAATGTGTATTTTGTACGTTTTCCTTCCAAAAGCCTGAAAGAAAACATGTTATAGAATCAAAATAGCACAACATCTCAAAATGTACCAGTGCATGAAAAACAATGTTTTTGCCTGCCGTGTCTCGCCTTAATGAGTGAGACACGCCGCAGTTGAGGATCTGTGGGGTTTGTATGTCGATGTAAGGGAAACACTGTTATTTAGTGGGAACGCTGACACATCATTCCACTATCTGTTCTTCTACGGACAAAAGTCTTTATTATTCTGCCTGTTATGTTGGCCCTCTTCTCCTCCCGCATTGAACATCGCAGAAACTCTGTTCAAACATCAAAACGTTCAGCTCGGTCGGGAAGCGATGGCTTTTACTTTTCTCATTCATAACTTTCATAATTCCAGAGATACATCCCATAATACATCACATGTTTAAGATGGAAGTCAATGGAGAAACTCTTCAGACTTCAACAAATCTTCATGCGACTTCAACTGCTAACTGTTCATTCATGCTTTCACTCAGAAACCTCATTCCAACTTTCAAATGTTACAAATCTTTCTGACATTATTCGTGTAAAACTACTTTTAAATCTGATTCTTACTTTTAGAGATTTTAACATTTGTTCAGACCTTGTTTTAGAGGTTTTCTTCACATTTTAACATTAACTAGAGTGCGTGATGTCACAGCTAGAGGGTAGAACATCTTGAGATTTGCCTTCATATCTTTTTTTAAAACTGCCATAATTCCCAAACCCTACATTCCTGAGACATAATTTATCATGACAAACGTAGGAAAACATCTCGTAGCTTGAAAAATGACAAATAATTAAGCAAAAATAATTCAACAAAATGCCTCTTGAGGGCATGAAGTGACAAAAACGTTCAACATCCAATCCATTGAAGCCCATTGTAATTTCAGGCAGATATTTCCTCACGGCAGCAGCCGCACACCTTTAGTTAAACTGCCAAAAAGGCCACATTATTAACCCGAAACTACACAACAATTACACTTCAGATACTCAACTTCCTTGACATGCTTCACGTTTTGAAATGTCACAGATATCTGTTACGGTTCTTCCACAAAGCGTTCACATGTAAGAGGTTCATCTCTCATTCAGAACAATGGAAACCTGTGATCTCTACAGAGCTCGTTAGTTCAACTAGAAACACCTGTGTAATGGAACACGTGATGTCATCGCTCCAGCTGACATGCTCAGAGCAGCAGACTCTCTCTCACACACACACACACACACACACACACACACACACACACACACACACACACACACACACACAGTGTGCCAACAGTCCAGCCGTGAAGACATCTCATACACACACACACACACACACACACACACACACACACACACACACACACACACACACACACACACACACACACACACACACACACACACACACAGTGTGCCAACAGTCCAGCCGTGAAGACATCTCATACACACACACACACACACACACACACACACACACACACACAGTGTGCCAACAGTCCAGCTGTGAAGACATCTCATACACACACACACACACACACACACACACACACACACACACACACACACACACACAGTGTGCCAACAGTCCAGCTGTGAAGACATCTCATACACACACACACACACACACACACACACACACAGTGTGCTAACAGTCCAGCCGTGAATACATCTCACACACACACACACACACACACACACACACACACACACACACACACACACACACAGTGTGCTAACAGTCCAGCTGTGAAGACCTCTACGGGACAGTTTGGAGAGTTCTTCAAATGCCGTTGCCATGGCAACACAAGGCTCGCCATGAAACACGGCTTTCTCATAGCTTCAGTGAAAATGCTCCAAACAGCCCAGAACTTCACAGGTTTGGTAACGATGCAGCCATCAACGCATCTAAGCGTATTATGGGGTGTCATCAAATGCCGTTGCCATGGCGACAGACCACTTGCCATGAAACACGATGTCGCTGTAATCCAATGGAAACGGTCCAATCGTCCCCCAATCTTCACTTGTATATCACCGGTCCATGCCTCAACAGCTCTATGCCAAATCTGAAATCTCACCATATGCCGTTTCCATAAAACATCGCCATAAAACACGATGTCGCTATAACTCCTATGAAAATGTTCAAAAATGTTCACTTTCTTCTTACACAGTACATTTCAGCATAGCAGTTTAGCATCAGATGTTCAGCATGAAGCAGTCCCACTAGCAATTTCTTCAGGAATTGCATTCTCTAGTTTGTATTACTATTATTCATAATAACGTGTGCATAGACCTTTTTCAGGGGCGGACTGGCCATCTGTAGAATGTCCCCCCCCCCCCCCCCCGTTGACAATTCATGTGGTGGGGGGTTGCCAGTCTCTGGCACAGTTATTTTGGGGGTTGCGGGCTGAAAAGTTTGGGAACCCCTGATCTAGAGCAGTGGTTCTCAACTGGTCAGTTCTCGGGACCCACTTTTTCTTTTGTCAATAAATCGCGAAAAAAGTTTGCTGTAATATATACGGTTTTCAGCATACATTATTAATCAAAGTGAAGTACAGTGCATATATCCCTTGTATCCCTTCACAGAACTAAAGTATTCTTTTAAATAAGGTTTAATGAGATGATGGAATCGTTTAAAAAATAATAATAATTCCACCAGTGTGGTACGGTGTCCCGATAATTGAAAGGTACCGCGATACCCTGCCGTTAAAAACGTTACGATTCCTCCGTTTCATTAGTATCGGTACTTTAAGAATGACGGGGAAAAGTACTCCGGTGAGAAAGCGCTGTTTTAATAAGAGCCGTGTGTGTTCAGCGCTCTGCTTCCACTCCCTGCAGCCGTGCCTGCAGTCCCTCCCCTCTCAAGCACGCTCTAAGTCCCTCCCCTCTTAAGCACGCTCTAAGTCCCTCCCCTCTCAAGCGCGCTCTAAGTCCCTCCCCTCTCAAGCACGCTCTAAGTCCCTCCCCTCTCAAGCACGCTCTAAGTCCCTCCCCTCTCAAGCACGCTCTAAGTCCCTTCCCTCTCTCGTGCAAGCTCTAAGTCCCTCCCCTCTCTTGTGCACGCTCTAAGTCCCTCCCCTCTCAAGCACGCTCTAAGTCCCTCCCCTCTCAAGCACGCTCTAAGTCCCTCCCCTCTTGTGCACGCTCTAAGTCCCTCCCCTCTCAAGCACGCTCTAGTGCCTCCCCTCTCTCGTGCACGTGCTAGCTGCCAGAATATGTGAGAAAACGAGAAGCTGCAAGTGGGAGTGCAACTGCTGCTGCGCCTCGGCTTGTTGACACAAAAGACGCCAGAAGCGAAATGTGGAAGTATTTGAGCTAGGGCTGGGCGATTTTTTCGGTTTTAACGATTAATTTGCATTTTTACTTTCCTATGGTTTGTGAAATGGCTGAACCGAAAAATCGCGATTTAAAAACATTTCTAGACTCCGCAGATTTGTTTTGCTTTAAGGGACTCCGTAGTAGCTTACTCTCTCACTTTCCAGAACGCGCACAAAACTCAGCCACATTGCCTGTGACTACCCGATCTGCAGCTCTGTGTACACATATATCACTTAAATTATTCAATACATCCTTTGTACTGAAGTATTCAAGAGTAAATAAAGTAAATAGAGTTTAATATAAATGATTTGCTGTGGCCAATTGTTTTCATTGCATTTACAGACCCGTGTAAATCTCTGATACCACCCAATGAATGCATTGACTTGCTTGTAGAACCACGCTACACAAAACAGATAGCAACACCTATACAAACTATTTAAAAAAAAAAAGGGGGCTACTGTATCGACCTATATAAAGTATATACATTTTTTTTTCTTTTCAAAATACCAAAAATA